ACAACAACAACAACAATAGTAATAATAATTATTATTATAATTAAAATACTAGTTATTTCATTTTAATTGAAATGTGCAAATTATTATTATTCATAGGAAGCAAAGAAAGATTTAAAAAAAAGAGAACAAGTAGGAAGGCATCTGAGTCAAGGAAGAATGGTTTTATTTTCTTGTGTTAAGTATCTTCAGGAGTTAAACATTTTATATCACTTTTCTCTTTAAATTAGCTTTTTATGAATTACTTTTTCAACTTTTATCAAGAAATTTCATCAAATTTTATTCTGTCTTATGGTAATGGGACTTATTTAAAAGAGTGATGGGAGACTCTTTTAATAAGATTTGATCTTAGTCCATACTTGTTCAAAAATTGGAAAGCTCATTTAGAGCCCAGTGTGGGATTTTTAGTTAGGTGTGCTTAGATTGGGAAGGTCAGAGGGGACCTGCTCATGAGCTGTCAGCCAGGGACATAGGAGAGGTATTACATGGGACTTATTCTTGGCCTCAGGTTCACATTTTCTACTTTCTTTTCAGATAATTTTTTCTTTTCTCACAGAAGATAATGGGGGAGAAGGGTTAAATAAAATTCAAAACACTGTATTAAGGTAAGTTTCTGGTTATAATGGTTGTGAGATGTTGAAATAGGTCAGTGGAGATGGTGAACTTTTTTTTTTTTTTTTTAATGAGCAGACAGGTTACTGAGGGGGAAATAGTGAGATAATATATCTAAATATCTTAGCATGCCTTAGCAAGAACTGTTAGCTCTTATGTTATTACCATTCTGAGATTTCTATATAGGTATTTTCTTATCTTTATAAAATATTAAGCAAATCACTATTGCCTATGTACATTGAAAGCATTTTCCTCTTATTTTTGTAACTAATTTCCATTTTCTCCTCCCAGCATAGACCAACTTCACTAAAGATATTACCAGTTGCAAATCAATGAATGAGGAGACTCACAGATTTCACAGAAATGCTCAGTGAATGTTTGAGAATATCTAGACCCAAATCATTTCATAACCTTAAGTATGTACGTATAGCTTTAAATTTTAGTGTCGCTGATAACTACAAAATGTGCATAGCACAGCCACAAAATAAATACAATGTAAAAATTATTCACCTGATCACAATATTTTTTCCCACTTAAATGAAAATATTAATGAGAATGTTAAAATTAACTTTTTAACTTGGTCATATATATGCCACCTCTAACATCCAATTATTCTTTTTTAAATTTACTATAAAGACACACAAAATGGCATAAAAATAATATAAAAATACTAATGATTCACCACCAGATTATGAAATTACTAACACTACTGAGGTCCCCTGGACATCCTTCCTCAGTTCCATCTCTCTTCTTTCCCCAGAGATTAATCATTGTTCTGAACATTGTATTTGGTGTGTCCAAGTATTTCTTCATAGTTTTTGTACAATGACATAACCTCTAAATAATTCACATCATTATTTTACAATTTATTTTGTTAATTTGGATATATGTGCCATATGTCATACATTCACGTGGTAGAGACAATGCTCACTAGGTATATTCTATGTGCTTCCCTGTGTTTCTTAGCTTTTGGGCTGAAATCACTGGACTATGAGTGGATGGGAAGTGTGTCACATGTGGGAATAAGGCAGTAAAAAGCAACATCTCTTTCTTCCCCATCCTCTGTGAACTTATAAGTCATGTATTCCAGATGGGACAATGGGGCAGCTATAGGAACACAGAGCATCTATCACCCTGGGTCCCTGAGTGAGGTGGAGCAGAACCTACCGCCAACCCATGTTAGACATAGAAAACGAAAAAGAAATAACTGTTGTGCTAAGACATACACACATACACCCAAGGGGGAAGATAACTGCCTTTCAGGAATTATTAAAGCTATACTACCAGTAGCAGGGTAGATTCAAAGCCTTTTGAAAACACTACTATCCTGTGACCCTAGAATGGTATTTATTCCCACTTGCATGAAGAAGCAAATCTCATACACTCTAGTCTTTACCTTCTTTGAAGACCCTATTTTACTAACAACCTTTTCAGACAAGGGCCTACATGTTCATGAACTGTTTCCGGTATGTCTGTTTCATTTTCTCAACTAGATGTTAAAGTCTTTAAGGAATCATGTCCTCTCTTTTTTGGTACCCCACACTGCACTTTATAGTCTACACATGCATATATTGATGCATGGCTGACTGGAAGTATAAGGATTAATATTAAATGCCTAATTTGTGTAAGGCACCTTGCTTGTATTTCACCTAAGTTATCTTGATCCTTATTATTTCCATTACACAGATGAGGATATTAAGGGTAAGTAACTTTCCTTTGGTCACAGAGCTAGAGAGATGAAAGGTGTGAGGAGGGCAATTGAAATGTCTGCCTAACTCTAAAGCCCTTGCTTTTTAGTTCTTTTTTTAACGAACTGAATGAGACCATGCCTACTGTAAGGCAGGAACTTTAGTAGAATATGAAATGGCTAACACAAATAGTATTTATTCACAAGTTCTGCACACATTAAAACATTTCTGTGGATACTTGTCAGGACTCCAGATTGTTGGATCTTACCTTGATCACCTCTGGGGTCTGCTGAATCAAAACCACTGAAGTACTTTCTTTAGCTTTATCACCAACAGGACTTCTACAGACTGATAAATTGGCCTGGGAGGAAGTGGTCAAGGTTTCCTGTAGAATCTGCATCATTTCCTTTTCTTGTGATAGGCTGCCTCTGCCCGATTTGCATTCAACTAGTTCTTGAGCAAAGTCTTCAATGCTTTCTAGAATTCGTAGTAAGAGGACTCGATCCTCCTCCTCTATTTTGTGTCCATTGGTTTCAATAATCCTTGTTAGACAGGAAGGCGAGACTTTCTCGGTGGCTGCAGAGACTTTAGATTTAGGTTCAAGATCTATAGGAAGCTGACTAGTTAATGGACTAGGACTACTTAGAGAGTTAGAGCTTTTACCTTTGGCAAGTGGCTCTCTTAGAGAGGTCTCCATTTTCTGTGAAAATGATTCCAAATCCATTAACAATTTATCTATCTCCTCCTGGCTGTTAAGATTCATAAAATCTCTGTGGCCTCCCTCTTCAACTTTAGGAACTTTTGATTTAAAATCCTCCTCAGGTAGATTAACAACTGGTTTCTCAAATATCTTACCACTTTCATTTTGCACAGAGGCAGGACATTTTTTAAGATGAGTAATACGGTTTGAAAATGCTGCTTTATCTTCATTTAACAACTGACCAGGTCCATTCTCTGCCCTTTGTCCTTTATCTGATGCTTTCTTTCCATCAGACTCTTCTTCAATATAAAGGGTTTCCATTAGGTCATTAGAAGAAACATTTTCTAAAGGGTTCATGGTTAACGACTGTGATTGAAGCTGGGTATCTTTTAGGGTTCTGGGATCATTTACTTCAGAGTTATATAAGGGATTTGTAGAGTTATTTGGAATGGAACTTACAGCATCTGTTTTCCTAGAACTGTGTTTGTCATCTTGCAGTTCTATAGTTTGAAACTGTCCAGAGTCAGGGGCTGAGAGCTGGACAACATCTTCATATTTAGGGGGTTGTTCAGTGCCAAATACTGGGGAAAAGGGAGTCAGTTGTAAACTGGGCATATTACTGACGAGTTCTGTTAAATCTATAGCATCATTATTCCCAGGCTGCATGAATTCAAATGGTAGCTTTTTCAGATAGGATGCTAACCTGGTCATTACATTCATATAGACAGTTTCAGAGCTAGAAATTGCATCATTACCATTTCCTTCATTGATGCTACTCCCTGACTTTTTCTTTATGCATTGTTTTATGATATCTGTGCATTTTTTCAAATCCTCAGAGCATTTCAGCAAGATGTCCAAGCACATCTTTATGTCTGTTCCAGAAGAAAAATTATCTATTTTATGTTTTTCCAAAATCTGAGTAACCAGGTCTTCTTCAGAGAAGTTGTGAAGAAGCACTGATGTCAAGTTTGCATCAAGTGAGTTTCTATGGGACAAAGATTTTTCCTCAACTGAGGAACTCCGGAGTAAACCAAAGGATGGGGAGTTCCCATCATTGTTATAATGGCCACAGAACAAGTCAAAATCAACTGACCTCCTATTAAATGAGTCAGACTTAACTTTTCTTCCCTTTTTGTAAGCTGCATGGTTAGAGTTTTTGAGCTTTTCAAAGGAAAATTCTTTTATTTTCCCGCTAGCAAAACTGATTGCTTCTCCTGCAATGTCTTTTAAGTTACAGGTGTTCTGAAATGTAGATCCTTTCTTGACCCTGGGTATGCCTGTTAGGGCCTGCTGGTGATAGTCACCCTCAGCTGAGGAAAACCCATTTTCGTGGGGTAGAAACATAGAGTTCAGATCTGCATCTTTGAACTGAGACACAGGGATGTGCAAGAGGTCTGCACAAACACTATGATGTACCACAATGCAATCAACTCCATGTGTAAAGGTGTGGCAGGTTCCAGTGCAATAATGTATAGCTTGCTCAAAACGTCGGTCTATCACCACACTGCTGTAGTGGTTCACAGTACTGACTACAAGTCTGTAAGTTGCTGCCATAATATCGAATCCACTCAGTGATGGGAGTTGGAATTTTCTAGAACTTATTTCAAGTAAATCCTCTTAACTTACACTCAGGTGAAAATATACTTGATGACAATATTCAGTGGTTTCTTGCAAATAAAATGACCTTTCCCACAAAGAAAAAAACATCTAAATTTGAGGTTTGGTAACTGTCAGGATACAGTAGCTACTGCACATATGTGCTTGTATTATTAGCAAGTTTAATAATTTATTAATTGTGTTCTTTAGTTTTACTTAGTAATCTCATAATACTGTAAGTTTATAAAATCGTCTTTTAGTTCTTCAGCAGTTCTATGATGCAGAAACTTATTGTCATAAATTTACTGTCATAAATCTTAGTTGGAAGTACAGAAGTATTGTGATAACTCAGTCCTCCAAAGATTTAAATGATCCATTTTTTTTTGAGTGACAAACCTAAAAAAAAAGAAAAGAATTTTAAAAATACGATTTCTTAATACTGAGAGTTCTTTTATTTCCTCTTTTGCCCCCCCACTGCAGTTAATCACCAAGACTTATTCTTTGCCATATCATTGCTTATCTTTGATTCATGTCTTTGTTTCATCACACCCTGTACTCCTTACTATGAGAGTATTACTACCTCAACTCTGCCTTGTTACAACTGCCTTCCAGTTGATATTTCTTACCCTACCCTCCTTGCCACCTTACACAACACCAATAAGCTTAGATTTAGATGGCTTTTTTATCCCTCACCGTTCAAGAATTCACACTCCTGATCTCCATCATGCATCCTACTTCGATTTGACTTATTTTCAAGACTTTCAACATCTGTTCCCATCCACCTATAACTTTATTTTCTGCTATGGCCCTGAACCAACCTTTTGCTTCCATCAACCTAATCTTCTCAAAGACTGCCAACACACAGTGCTTGTCCTTGATTCTATAACGTCCTCTATACTTCGAAATTATTCTTTCATCATCTTCTCTTTTCTTACCACCTAAGAAAGAAACAGCCTTCATCACTGCTCTTGATCCTATCCTCTCAGACCCTGCCACATGAAGATCTCTTATTACCAAATGGACAGAGTTTACTTAATCATCCTGACTTTAAAAAAAAAAAAGGCTTTTAAAACATGCTGTGGATACTTTCTAAAAAGGTTCAATTTACTTGCTCAATAAATACTGAGTGCCTGGGGTGCCTGGGTGGCTCAGTGGGTTGAGTGGCTGACTTCAGCTCAGGTCACGATCTCACGGTTGTTGAGTTCAAGCCCCGTGTTGGGCTGTGCGTTGACAGCATGGAGCCTGCTTCAGATTCTCTGTCCCTGTCTCTCTCTCTCTCTCTCTCTCTCCCTGCCGCTTCCCTGCTCATTTTCTCTCTCAAAAATAAACATAAAAATAAATATATACATACATACTGAGTGCCTACTATGTGCCAGGCACTTGTTAAGTGCTAGGGATACAGCAGTGAATAAAATAAAGTCCCTATTCTTATGGAGTTAATAATCTAGTTGGAAAAAGAAAAACAACATGTATGTAAACATGTAACTTAAACATGGTGACATGTGCTATGGAGAAAAATGAAGCAGGGCAGGGGTTCAGAAAGAATGAGAAGGGTTATAATGTGCAGTCAGGGAAGACCTCACTGACATCTGAACCAAGACCTGAAAGAAAAGAGAGAACACACTGAGGAGGTATTTTGGGCTAAATCATCTCAGACAGAGTTAACTATAGGTGCAAAGGCCCTGAGGTGAGAGTATGCTTGATTTACTAAAAGAATGACAAGGAGGCTAAAGTGACTTGGATGGAGAATGCAAGTGAGGTAGTGTGGAAGGTAAGGTCAGAAAGGAAAGGTGGGAGTCTAAATCATGCAGAATATGTAGATTCTTATGATGAATTTGGCTTTATCCTGAGCAAGCTGGGAAACAACTGATGGCTACTGAGCAGAGGAATTAACATGATCAGACTTACATTTTAAATTGGTAATTTTGGCTGCTATATTCAGAAGAAACTGTGAAGGAGCAAGACAAACAGCAGAGAAACAAATTAGAGGCTACTGCAATAAACTGGGCAAGAAAGCTTGGGGGCTTGGAGCAGGAGAGTAATAGTGGAGAAGTTTAGATGCTGTATCTATATCAAAGGTAGAGCCAAATAGGATTTGCAAAGGATGGATGTGCAGTATTACTAAACCAAGAATAATGCAGTCAAGCAATGATAGTAAGGAGATGATGATGGAAATGAAGGACAGCATCAATTTCACTACACCATCAAAAGCAGTGGCATTTTAACAATGACAATCTTTATCCACTTAATGAGAAAAAGAACTTTAATTTCATTTTTATTTCTTCAATCCTAGAAAACTCTTTTTTGCTTATTACATTTCTTCTTTGGTACATTGTCTCTTCATATCTTTTGGTAATTTAGGTATTACAGACTTAGTGAATACACATACAATTAACTTATGAAGAACCTTTTATTTTGTTGAATTCTTATGCTAGAGTACATTTCCTGGCTCTCTGGATTCAATGATTACTCTGTTTTTACGCCAGTCCTACCCTATTGTAATTGCGGTTGTTTTAAGTTTTACTGTTTTTGCTTCCCATATCCCTAATTATGATTTTTTAAAGTTTATTTATTTATTTATTGAAGGGGGTGAGGGGCAGAGAGAGAGGGAGAAGGAGAGAAGTAGGCTCCACACTGTCAGCATGGAACCCAATGCAGGGCTCAAACTCACGAACCATGAGCTCATGAAATCAAGAGTCGAAATCAAGACTCAGATGCTTAAGCAACTGAGCCACTTAGGTGCCCCACTGTCTTTTTTATACTCCAAATATTCTTTGATGGTCTTCCAGATGTATTTTTTGAGTTGTCAAGTTTTAAGAAAAAATGCTATTGCAATTTCATTACAATTGCAATAAACTTATGAATTATTTTGAAGAAACACTGACATCACTATTAATATTCAGATTTTCTACCCAGGAAGATCTAAATCTTAATTCCAATATTCCTTTAGTTCTGTCTTTGTGGTTTTCCTCAGGTGTGTCACCCCCCCCACGCCCATCCCATTCTTATCCTTCAGTGTCTTAACTTTGTTGCTATGTGAATAGATCTTGAGTTACTGCGTTTTCCTCTACTTCCTTGCCTTCCAATCTGAGATGGTGGCTTATATAAAACTATAGAACTAGATCTCATGAAGGATGAAGCTGAAGCAGAAAGAAGTTCCATAGTAAAGGAAGTGGCCAGTAATTCTTAACTGAAAATGCAAAGAAGCCAAGAGGTGTTTTGGGACAAAATACTAGAACATGGCAATAGAAGGAATTACCTTTCCGAGACATGCACAAAAGAGGGGGAAGAAATAACACCAAACGTGAAAACCTATGCATCTTTTAGAAATCCAAAATTTTTCAAGAGCTTTTGGGTAATGATAAGGGATGAAAGGAAAGGAAAACAAGGGATATTACTAAGAAAGTATATTTGGATAATTTTGTAAGAGATATTAGGACTATATCCTAATACACTTGATAATATAGGTGATAAAACTGGTTCAGAGGCAAAATACATGAGTGTTAGAAAATTTAAATATCCAGAAACCTATGAATATGTGATAAATTCCTAAATTAACATAAAGACTATTTCTCTGAAATTTGAGAAATTAAAAAAGTATTTCTCTAACCTTTGATATAACCAAAACAACCAGTTGATAAGGTAACATGACAGAAAACACAAGTATTCATGTGGTATTAGAATTTGAAATAGTTAAGGAAGAGAGAACACTGGCTTAAGACAGACATGTGCTTTTAGACCAGCACTGCCCAATAAGACATTCTGTGTTGATGGAAATATTCTTTATCTGTTCTGATGTAAATCCCATTAGCCACATGGAGGAGTTATTGGGCACTTTAAATGTGGCTAGTGTAACTGAAGAGCTGAATTTTATTTTTATTAAAAAATTTTTAATTTTGAAATTATTTTAGACTCACATAGAAGTAGCCACCATATTATACAGAATAGGAATGTAGCTTTCAGAGATTCTAAGACTTTAACAGAAAAGCATGACAAAAACAGACACAAAGACCAATGGAATAGAGACTCCAGAATTGGACCCACAAAAGTATGGTCAACTCATCTTTGACAAAGCAGGAAAGAATATCCAATGGAAAAAAGACAGTCTCTTTAACAAATGGTGCTGGGAGAACTGGACAGCAACATGCAGAAGAAATGAAACTAGATCACTTTCTTACACCACTCACAAAAATGAACTCAAAATGGATGCAGGACCTGAATGTGAGACAGGAAACCATCAAAACCCTAGAGGAGAAAGCAGGAAAAAACCTCTCTGACCTCAGCTGTGGCAATTTCTTACT